TCTCTCTCTCTCTCTCTCTCTCTCTCTCTCTCTCTCTCTCTCTCTCTCTCTCTCTCTCTCTGTGTGTGTGTGTGTGTGTGTGTGTGTGCGCGTGCTCAGGAAAGGAGGATGTGACACTTTGAAAGAAAATGTGGCATGCCTCGACGTAAAAAAAAAAAAAAAAAAAAAGGTGAAACATTCATCACAATTCTTGATTTTAATACCGCTTGGAATGTTGTTGATGTCTTGGAATCTGTCAGCAGTGCACAGCAGCGGTGTTGAGTCGACGGGAGGGAAAGGGGGGACAGGGGTGGGGGGAGTGTGAAAGGAACTCATAAATTTCACACCGAACGCGCATGCTCCATCTGCGATAGGTCTTAAGTGACATCACTTTGTATTTCTCGCACGTAGTTGCAATGGATGGCGCGAGTCACGTGTGTGACTGTGGGCGGCCTTTCATGTCATTATGGACGATGAACTCACACCGAGCGCGGGCATGTCCATCCGCTGTGGAGGACGGGAGCACGACACAAGAGATAGTTGGGGAGGTTATCGGTGGACCGTCAAATAGTGGTCCCATTAATCTGGTCAGTGGGGAAAGCGAGGAGGTTGAGCCCCCTCCTGATGTAGAAGCAGACTGCGCATCCGAAACAACAAAAACAACACACAGAGGCATTCGACAGCTCCCGCAAACTTGCGGCATTGATTTTCTCATGTAGGGGCGGTGTGGGCATGTCCCAAACTGACTTTGACTGTTTGTTGTCACTCCTCAAGAATCCTAGATTCGACCCAAGAAATATCGCATTTCGTAACAGTCGTGAGTGTCTGACATGGGCAAGCCGCGAGGCAGAGGCTGCAGGGTGGCAAAAGAACAATCTACGCAGTGATGATTGGCCAGAAGAAGCGCACACCATTTTGTGGTACCGCGACTGGCGCACAACGTTCGCTGACCTTGTATGTGCTGCACTGCACAACGTTGAAACGGTTTCTTGCCTCGAAATAGAACCTCCAGGGGAGGAGATCAACATATGTGGCTTTCGCACGGGCCAGTTGAGTCACCATGTCCAAACTGTTATCAGAGCAGGGAAGGGTGTGGACACGAATGGTAAAACACGTTATGTCATCCCTCTGTCTCTGTATTCAGACAAGACTCATGTAGACGGTCGTCAAAAGCAGTCAGCGTATCCTCTGATGATGTAAGTAGCCGATCGCGCATCGGATGCCACATTCCTTGCGTATCTTCCTTTGCTTCAACACGGACCACGTGACAAGGGCTGGGGTCTGCACTCCACCGCGTTTAGAAAACAGAAAGCTGTGATATTGCATAAAGCGTTGTCAATAGTATTGCGGTCCGCAAAGGAGGCATCCCATGACGGCATGATAGTTACAACGGAGCGGTTCGGCGAGATAACAGTCCACCTTTTCGTCATGAACTATATACAGGACTATCCTGAAAGGTGTGCCCTTGCAACTGTGAAATTTGGTGTTTGTCCAACAGGCATAGTGTCCAAAGACGATTTCGATGTCATCGCCGATTTCGCCAACTGCAGGAGATCGCAGACGCTAGACACGCAACTTGCTGCAAACTGCTTCAACAATGGGGACAACAATATTCGCTGTGCCGCAGAGGCACGAATGTCAGAATTGAACATGCTCAAGAGAACAGCCTTTGGGGATTCTACAGGGGTCCACATGGTGACGATCCTCAACTAGATTACCATCTCGCTTTGCAACCGGACCGTATGCACACCATTGAACACGGCATTTTCTTGCATATGATAGATGCATTCAAGGCAGCAGCTTATAAGAAGTTGTCGGATATCGTGCAAAGCGAGATATTGCACGAGATGGATGCGAGGTTGCAGAGCATCAGTGATAGATGTACGAGGACATACCCGCAACTCGTGTTGCCCGTGGCCACAGGTTGTGATTTCTTTTCAAGAGAAGGACGATTTGAAGCGAAGCAAAATCGGTCTGTAATGACAGTTTGCGTGTTTATTATTTGTGATATCATCCCGCGTGCGACAGGCAAATTCATTTCCGCTTGTTTCATCAAACTCATGGAAATGTACATACACGTGTTTCGTAAGTCGACTCACACTGCGACTTCTCTCAATGTATGTGACGCATTGATAGGTGATTTCATAACGAGTATAAAAACGAAGATGAAAAAATATCAAACCTCTAATTGGAAAATTCCGAAGTTGCACGACCTTATGCATCTGAGAACATGCATAGAGCGATCCGGTGTCCCCGACACCTTTGCAGCTGATGTGTGGGAGCATCATCATCAGAGGTTCTCCAAACAGCCATATCTGGCATCGAACAAGCGCAAGGCTGCTTCCCAGATGGTGAATCATGTCCAACGCTCATTGGCTTTGCAGGATGAGATGGAGATTGTGAGAAAACAAAGAAAGAGGTCGGCAGAAAATTTGTCATCTGTAACAGGCTGCATGGCCACCGGAATTAATACCCTCGCAGCGCGCGACACAGTAACTCTACAACTCCGGTGGTTTCAAATGGACGGTGTGCATTTGCCGGAGGTGAAGGGTATAAGCAACGGGGCGTTGAGAATACTTAACGAGCTTCCCTGCAGAGAGGATTTTCGAGCTGCGCTCACGACGTTCATGAGCGAGAACGGTTGTCAACCTCCATCTGATAACCAAGTGATACACACTCGAACACACTTGACTATCGCCTGCACATACGACGGGACGCACATGGGAGCAGGCGTTCAAACGGCAAGAGTTTCACCACAGTTCCACAAGAGAGTCGTGCACAGCGATGTTGCAGTGAGAGGTGGGAATGACAACATATGGTATGCATCAGTAGCCATGTTTTTCGTCATGAACACTTGCACAGGGGGTGTTGCAAAGATGCACAGGTGTTTGTTTTGTGCAATGGTACAAAGAGGTGGATAGCAAAAAGGAACACACAACAGGTTGTAAGAAGTTGCAATGGGAGAAGGTAAACGGTCATCAGCACAGTAGCGTCATAACGATTGACACCATCATCGAGACCGTTCACATTGTTCCTCGTTTTTTTAAACCACAGTGGGGCTCGAAGAAGCATGCAAAAGAGAGGAAGGACAGTTTTTTGTTGAATAGATATATAGTCTAGAAGTGTACATGGAATTAGAGAAAAAAAAAAAATAAAAAAAAATTCAAAGGCTGAACGTTTTTCCGAGAATAATCTGTGATGGACGCAGTCGCAATTTTATAGTACATCATCAGTTCAACTTTTGTATTTCTTTTACAGAGAGAGAGAGAGAGAGAGAGAGAGAGAGAGAGAGAGAGAGAAAAGCGTTTGAACGACAATAGTAATTTTGCAAAGATGGAGTTCAAATATCGATAGATTTTTAAAGCGGCGAGACTGTATTTCAGACCAGCACGATCGTGCGAGATGGAACAACACGGTTGTGAGACTATTTTTTTCGCACGGACAAGGTTGTGTTACAGCGTTGCATAGCTTTTATGTCATCTTAAACAGCAATGTAGACAAAGGTACATCAAAGCAGTGTATATGACGAAGGTAACTTCAGAGTTGACTACTGCGTGCACATGTATGGTGAACGTGGACTTAAGAAGTGGTAGGTGACACGCACTAGCCAACCTATGTCTATACTTGCGTGCGATAAAAGGTCATGACGTCACAGGAAACTGTCATTCTGCCTCGCAGTACTCTCTCTCTCTCTCTCTCACACACACACACACACACACACACACACACACACACACACACACATACACATTGTCGAAAAACTTACCACTAAAGCCGAGTAATTGACAAGATGTGCTTCATGGCCATGTGACTGTCATGTGGACAGGAAATGTTGAGGTCAAGGTAACACCAGAACGACAGTCTGCAGTGGGAGAAGTGGCAAGACAGCAAGCGAAACAAAAAAAGCGTTTTCAGGAATTGTGGAGAAGCCGATTTAGACTGACACAGCAACCTTTGTCCATCAGCTGTGACATCTGTTGTATGACAGAGAATGAGGGGTGTTCAGATGAGCGAATGTTACAAAATGAACGAGGGGGTAGATGGCAAGGGTTGTATCATGGGCTCAAAAGCGACGGAGAGTTTAGAAACAGCAAGGAATGACGAACAGTCATGTGGACCAAGTGTCACCAAACCGTTGCTCCCATTGAGCAGCGAGAGATCAGTGAAGCGACGGAAGAGGATACTGGAGGACCCGTGGTATGAGGAAATGTACCAGATGATGACCACAGATGACGTCCAATATCCTCAGATGGTGCATGAACCTTTGTTCAGTATTGCAGGGGGCAATCGATCGAGAGGTATGGCTGCAGAGGCTGGAAAGTGGCCTGAGAGGGTGGACGAGGAACACTTGTTCATGTTCACGTGAAAATCAAGAAGACGCGCCATAGCGATAACGAAACGGGATGTATTGCGATTGGGTGCGAAGTAGTGGTTGAACGACGACGTGATCGATATGTACTTACAATCCGTCTATGAAGAACATTTCCCTGCAGAGGACAACACGACACTTCATGTTTGCACAACTTTTTAGCATCCCGCAGTCATCGCCAATCAGAAGGTTTATGTCGTGAAAGCAGGATGGCAGGAGCGGATCAAGAGTAGACCTGCAAAGTTGCGTCGAATAAGCAATGAACTTCGAACGACAACTGTTGTTCTCATCCCTGTGAATCACAAAAACCATAGGAAATTGTTTTTGTTACTGAATGTCGGTCGGTTTTTGGCAGTCACGAAGGACAATGATTGGCAGAAACAACCTGTTGCGATCATCATGGATTCCTTTCAACAGAGCCGCCGACAGGAATGGAAGGCGTTGCGCACATTTTTGTGGTATGAATACCTCAACGAGGCAGACAAAGCAGGGGTGTTGACTCCCGAGACCGTGGACACGTCGTGGGTGACATGCAGAGATCTACTTGGATCTAA